TAAAGTGGGGTTGGGAAAGTGAGGTGGCATGCCATATGTAGGTCACCTCAGCAAAATGTCATGCCACGTGGGAGGTAGTATCCATGGCCGAGGATCCTAATTATTTTTCCACCAGTTTTATAACGTCGGAGATAATGATAGACCGTAAAGGAGGGCATAACTGATCCTTTTCGCATAGTAAAGAGGTATTTGGCCCTTTTCCTTTTCTTTTTTTTCCTTAGGTAGTAGTAAGCCTGGCAAGTGGGCCGGTCCAGGCCCGAGACCGGCCCGGGACCGCGGGCCAAACGGCTAAACGGGCCAGGACCGTTTGGTCCGATTTTAGCGGGCCTGGTCCGGTCTCGTAGGCCGGTCCTATGATTTGGGCCCGTAGGCCCGGGACCGTTTAGCCCGTCAGGGCCCGGGACCGGACCGGAACCGGCCTGGTCCCTTAGCGGGCCTAGCAGGCTCAACGGCTATTTTTTTAAAAAAAAATCGTTAGGCTGTCAAAAATAGCCGTTGGGCTGTCAAAAATAGCCGTTGGCTATTTATGAAATAGCCATTTAACCCCTCAACTTTGTTTTAATCCCAAACTTTTTATAATTACACTTTTTCCTTATTTTCAACTATAAATACCCCATCATTATTTCATATTTTCTTACAAAATCATCAATCTATCACAATCTCTCTCTAATTTACTTCTATAATTGCTACTATTGCTTACTTTATTGTTACATTTTGTGAAACAATTGTGAAGTTGGTGAATTGAAATCTTCAACGATAATCAATTTCCAACAAGTTGTTTGTCAATTCGGTAAACTTGTTCCAACTCTTAAGTTTTAATATTATAATTTTGTTTGTTTTATTTACTTTGCTTGATTAATTAAGATGGCTTATTCCTTAAAAAATATGTTTAGTAAAAATAAGAAAAAATCGAAGAGTGGTGAATCTAGTGGTCAATATGTTCCTCCTCCACTTCCCCCGACTCTCCGACCCAAACATGTTACCCGTCCTACACCTCCTATTCTTGATAGCGATAATAGTTTATTACAATTTACCGAGAGTCAATTTTTCCATAATATTGCACCCGGTGAACGATTAAACCATGAATATATGAATGCTCTTTATGGTAATCCAACTATTGATGAAAATGATGATGAAGAAATAGATTTTGATGAAACGCAACCGGATGATGATACACCCACTAGTCATGTTCCTGAAGTTAACCCAACTAATAATAATCTAGATGATCCCCCATCTGACCCTCATATTAGTACCCCTACTTTTTCTAAACAACCTCCTAAACGGGCAGAAACATCTCTTGTTTGGTAATTTTTTACTCAACTAAGAGAAAAAAATAAGGCTAAGTGTAAAACTTGTGGCAAAGAGTTAGTTTTGATCTTTTTTATTTTTGCCATTCCCAGGCGAAAATGTCACCCATCGATTTTGATTACATCAGTTATTTCTTCCTGCGCTATAATGAGTACAAGAAGCAGAAGGAAAACTGTTTCTCTTTAGCCAAGTCATCTCTCAAAGCCCGAGCATGGTGAAAGTTTCATTTAGCACAGTTCTAGAAACTCGCGGGAAGTTTGACTAGACACATATTGCTACACCCTCAAGATAAAGCTAGATATTTCCGTATGAAAGTTTTGGCTGAGGGGACAAGTGCACATAGTCAGGCTGACCTTAGTACCGGGTCAAATCAATTTCAACCGGGAATTAACACTGTTACCGGTGGTATTTTATATTATGATCCAAAAAAAGATTGGGAAGAATTGGCAAAAATGGTCACTGTTATGTGCTTACCCTATAGTTTTCCTTCTAACCCCCACTTTGTGCATTATATTAGAAAAATTTATAATCCTACTTATAAAGGTTTTCCTCGCACAACCGTAAAGAGTGATATTTATAAATATAAACATGAATATGAACAATATTTGCGCTATTTATTTACTCATATAAATT